AGCTGTTTCGATTCTCTCAGGGACAGGGCACCGTTCCTTCTTTCCTTATAAATTTCAGCTTGTCAAGTTAATCCAAGTAACACATAAGTAGTTGCCGTATTGCTGGGGCTGCCAGGCAAAAGAAGTCCACAGGGAGAAGGCACCAAATGTTGCACAGCACGAGCACAAGGCAGTTTCTTTCCCTTCCTACTGCAGCTTTCCCCGCGCACTCTTCTCACCAGCCGAAGCCCACATCCCTCCTTACCGCAACCGCTCAACCGTAAGCGTCCCCATCCTTCCCTGTTCCCTGCACCCTCTCGACCTGACCTATCCCCGCCCTCCCTTTACCCACTTTTCCCACGCTCTCCCTCCCCTATCCCACAGGCAACAGCAGCGCAATGCATGCGACGCCACCAGCGCCCGCCGCTTCAACACTGGAGTACGCTGCACACAGGTAGTGCCGTACACCAGCGGCCCCTCCGCCGCCCGTCTGGCCGCCGTCCTTCCCAACCTGCAGCACCTATGTATTGCCGCCACTGCCGACAGCTGCAGTCACATGAGAACAGCAGTCACTGTTTGGCACACACAGGAATTGGCCAACTCCTCGCACCTTGAACACGCCACACTTATCCAGCTGCGCGTCGAAGCGACTGAACAGCGCATTCAAGAGCTGCATCACTGCGCGAGGTTCCATCTCTTTGCACAGCGGCGTGAAACCTGCGCCGTACATGTATGCGGTACACGGGTACGACAATCACAGGTTAATACTACAACGAGCCACAGCTTCGCATGTATCAAGCCAAGCAACAAACTAACCGAAACCAACCGAAACTAACGGAAAAAACGGAAACTGAACGGATAAACGTAACAATGCAATGCTTATATTTACAGGCTCCTACCAGGTTGTAACTTAGGGTTTTCGACCGCGTCACGCTGTTCTCCTTTCTACGGATCCTGACACCCGCCAAGCCACCGTGTCTGTCTCCCCAACCGCAAAGCATATATCAAAAATGCCGTACATAAACCGTCCTAGCGACCTCACCGCAAATGTCAGCAAACAGCAATGTGACCTGCGAGCACAAGACAAAGCCACAATCATGCACACAATCATATTCGCAAACAACGCTATATATGTATGTATGTATGTCAACGCACCACGAACATTATACAGGAGCATGACGGCAGCCTTCCGCACGTCATGTGTACTTTGCAACCCGAACTGGCCCCCGAACTTAAGAATGCTTCTATACTCTTAAGCCTGCGCCGCACTCTAGAGCGACAGATGAGAGATAGCGCCGTACTAGATCTCGAGATGACGTCATATTCGCAGCGCAGGGTGGGGCGCTGTTTAAACCCAATTTGAGAATACGATGCGTGAGGGGGAATACCTGATATGTGCGCGTGTGTGTATGTGAACCATTTCTACACGAATACACACATACCAATATTTCCCATCCTCCTAAGAAACACGCATAACCATATCCATACATACATACTTACATGCATGCATGCACCCCCTTCCTCAACACCCCAACAACCCCACGAATGCACACCTGCGGATGCCACGTCGCCATGGCGTACGGATCCCGTACACCGGGCCGCCAGGAGCGGGATAAGGGGCCGGAGGCGGCAGCCGCCGCTGCTGCCGCTGTGGCGGCGATGGATGCCGAGGCGGCATGGATGGCGGCGGCGGCAGATGTGGACACGCGGCCCGGGGGCGGCAGATCATCTGCCGTCGCAACGGCGGCGGTGGTGGGGGCGATGGTGGTGGTGGTGGTGGCGGTGCAATGTGCCGTCCAGTCCTCCACTATGCCCTCCAGGATGTGCCGCGGGTAGAGCTGCTCCAGCAGGCGGTGTTCCGTCTCCATCACCAGCGCCAAGTGCCGCTCCGAAACAACGCGCGCTGTTACGTCATGCTACAGCGTGATGGAAAGTGTGCAAGATATTCATTCTCTTTGTTGGTTAACATCATATATTTTATATTACGAAAAGGTTGATCGCATCAGCAAGAAGAAAGACGTATTTATTTTTTTTAAAAGAAGTGGTGACTTTTTGCACATGCGTTTCAAGGATAAAGATTTCTTCACAAGGTACCGTTTTCCTTTTCCTTACAGCAGTCCAGGAGGAAAGAACCCGAAGTAATCCAAGTTCAAGTCCCAGGTCGGCAGGGATGTTTCCTTCACTGAAGCTTCCCTAAAACGTCACCAAAACCCACTTGGGCAATGATGATGACGGGCTCCCCCAGAATGGGGTCCACGACACGGCGAGCCCACACTTCATGCCAGCACTCCTCGCCCCGGCCAACCAACGCCCCCTCGTCGCCGCCGTCGTCGCCGGTGGCGGCTACGACAACGTCTGCAGAGGTAGGAACAACATTATGTCCTGCAGAAAGCCGCGAATCCGCCTCCGTCAACACGCTGTTTGCTGTCGTACCGCCTTCGTTGGCGCCGGGCTCAATTCGCTGGCCGTCCATGCCGCCGGCTTCTTCCCAGGTCCACGTCGGTGCTGAATGCGCCGTCGGGGCGCGTCGTCGAACTTGCATCTCGCCGTCGATGTTCGCGACGACGACGTGAGATTTGAGCTGTTGCTGTTGCTGTTGTTGCTGCTGTTGCTGCTCCTCTCTGTGCTGAACCTCGGACTTGAAGCTCGCAGATGAGCCAGGCGACGGGGAGGGGGAAGGGGAGGGGGAGGATTGGGAGGATTGGGACAGGCAACGTGAAGGAGGACTCCGCCGGGTGGAGGCAGCACCACCTGCGCTCATGACGCCGCCGTCGCCGGCAGCGGCGGAGGCAGCAGCGGCGGCGGTGGCGGCGGCGGCGGCGCCGCCGCCGCCAACCGACACCGGGTTCGTACCCGTCAATACCGCGTCTGCGCTCCGACGCAATCCGACGCTCGGAATCCTCTTTAACGACGACGTCCCCGCTGCTAGGAAAAGTGCCGCTGGCGGTGCCGTACGTAAGCTACCCGCAAACGTTACCGCGTGAAGCGGCATCGCCATTGGCAGCGACGTTTGCGTTGCCAGCGGCAGCGGCGCCGCCCGGACTGGCGACGCTGCGGACGCTGCCGCCACCGTCCCCATGGTGTACGATTTCCCACAATCCAACAGCCGTACAGCGTCGTTGGCCGTGATGGTGATCCGCGCGTACGACAGGCTGTCCTCTAAGCCGGCGCCGACTCGGCAGCCGCCGTTACCGCCGACAGACAACCCGCGCTCTACGCACGGTAGCGAGAGGACCCGGCGGCAGGACCGCGTTGAATCCAGGGAGCCCCGCAGATGGAGCGGCGTCGCCGCCGCCGCCGCCGCTGCTATGGCCGGAGCTACAGCGCTTTTT